TTGAAAAAAAAAAAAAAAAAGCAGATGGTAAGGACCTGGCTTAGAAGGTTTCAGCTGGGAAGAAGAATTTCACTGGCAGTTGGACTTGAGACCACAAATGTTATGCTCTAGCAGAAATTCTGTAGTTTGCTCACGTCCTGAGATTTTATGGGACACTAAGACTAATGCCAGCAAGCTAACTGATCTGGTAGAGGAAATTTGAAGGCAGCCTAACATTTAGGCTATAGCACAGATACTGCTTGCTGCTTTTAGCCAAGTTTATACTGAAAATCAAGAGAAAATGGCAAGACTGAATTATTTAAAAGTTTTGAAGTTGACCAGAAAGGAAACTGGCAAAGTTGAAGCCTGTGAAGCTGCCCCAGAAGAGGGTTTGGCTGCTGAAAATATTAACATTAAAAAGAAGCCAAGCAATTTACATCAGGAGCATAGAAAAGACAGGCAAGGGTATCACAGAACCAGTGAGACCCCACCCTTTGCAGGGTCCAAATTTCAGAAGTAAAACATTTTGCTTTGAGAAGAAAGCCCCAGGGCAGCCTGCTCAAGATGGGCACCTAGGAAATTGACTCCCCAGGATTGTGTTCGCAGTGCTCAGCCACCTAGGCACTCGGGCCCCTCCAGCCAGCCTTCAAAAGGAGCTGGCCAGTACTTGAACCAAAGGCAGACCTTGGCCTCTTCTACACGGTGCCTGTTTTACAGGCATGCAGGATGCAGCTATGGGGTCAGAGAGGCTTCCACCCAGGTTTCAGAAGGTCTGAGAGGCCGGGCAGGGTGCCCCTGAGAGGGGAGTGCATGAAGATGTGAGTGTGAAGATGAAGGTGCAGTGGAGACCCCAGGAAGTGGCCATCTGAGGAAAGCAGAGGGTGTGAGCAAAGCCAGCCCAAGAGAGAAGCCGTGAGGGCTCCAACCACGAGCAGTGCCACAAGGGCAGAGCCACCCGAGCCCATTAGAGTTCATGTCTCTCTACAACCTTCCCCGGGCACTGAACACAGAGCTACAGGATTTAATGTTTGTCCTGCTGGGTTTCAGTCTTTCTCACTGAAATCCCACTGGTTTTTATCCTTGTATTCCTTTTGGGAATGGGAATGTTTATCTTGTGCCATTGTACATCGGCAGCATTTAACTTTCTCTTTGATAGTTACAGGGGCTCACAGCTAAGAGTTTGCCTTAAGTCTAAGAGGAGACTTTGGACTTGGACTTCTCAGCAATGCCGAAACTGTTGAGACTTTGGCAACTCTTAGAGACGGACTCCATGCCTTTTGTGTAAAGGGATGCACGTGAGTCTTTGGGGGAGCCGGGGCAAAATGGTATGGTTTATATAAGTATGTCCCCACAAGGTCTCATGCACACAGAGGAGGGACTTTGGAAAGGTGGCTGGATTAGAGGGGTATTATAACTGAGTTACTGTTAGGAGATGGGGCCTAGGAAGAAGAGGCAGGTCAGTGGGGGGCCTGAACTGGAATGGTCTTCCTACTCTCCCCAGCCCCGACCTTCCTACTCTGCATCCTACTGTGCAGGCACTGAGCAACTCTGCTCTGCCCTTTCTCTCTACCACGCCCCTGCCCAGCAGCCAGCTGAGTATGGACTGAAACCCCTACAACTGTGAGCCTAAATAAACCTCTCCTCCTTTAACTTATTTTATCCCAGTGATGTTTGGAAGGTGACAAAGACAAATGTGTTGTACAACTGAGCACACATAAACACAGATGCGCCCCTTACTGGCCTAAGATCACCAATTCATCAAAAATCAAGGCATTGTTTCTATTTGATTTTATAATTCAGGAAATGGGTAGAGTGTTGAATTCAGAGTAAACACATAGACTCTCATAAAATAGGATTTGCATTTTCAAACTGTAATTGTCATTGGTGAAAATCAAGAACATCACTACACAGATGTTTTTTTGATTTGGGCTACACAATTTCGCATGTTCTCAATCGGCTAATATTAAGTTGATTGTGTCTACTGAGTAATGCCACATCTTGCTTCAAACCTGATTGAAAATGTCTTCATTGTGAGAACTATCGACTAAATCCGATGTTATTATTATTGTTTTAAATTATGGCTCATTGCTCAGGTTTTCTCCAATCATTTACAACTGGATGATCAGTTTCAAAACACAGAGGACATATTGAAGATATACTCCTAAGTAAGTCACACATGTGTAAATACCGAATAGTTTCCCTGGTGTGAATAATCTGCAATAATACATAAGATCCTAATAAGATTACTGACATTTAGAAATGGGAAGAAAGGAGCTAAAGGTGTAGAGAAGGTGGGATGGGTAGGGGAAGAGTAAAAAGGGAAAAGAAAAAAATGTGAGAGAATGAAAAGATGAAAATAAAGTGTTTGAAAATAAAGGGAGGGCAGGGGTTAAGGGGAAAAATGAGAACCAAGACCTGTCATGTAGAGGTACAAGATCCCAACAATGAGTGTAACTGTACTGTATCCCTAAAATGTACCAATAAACTCAATTAAAGCTGAAAAAAAACACAGAGGAAACCTATTTCTGTTAGATTGCAAGTGTACAGTAAAACACAAAACGTAAGTGCAAAAGCAAAGTCTGAGAATGAGGGATTAAGAAACTGATGGCTTATATGCATGGGCACTGGATAATCTATCCAAAAATACCTTTAAAATGATTTTTCAGATAAAAAATACTCATTCTACTACCATCAGAAAATGCATTAGTCATGAAATTGCATATTTGAGAACCCCTTTCAGCACAACCTAGGAGACATTCCAGGTTAAAAATGACTTTTCCATGGAGTTTTATGTCCTTCCTATGTACACCACACACATGTAACCCCAGCACATGTAACCCCAGCTACTTAAGAGGCTGAGGCAGGAGGATCACAAGTTCACAGCCAGCCTGGCAACTTAGTGATAATCTGTCTCAAAATAAAAAAAAAATAAAATTTTAAAAAGGGCAGGGGAAGTAGCTCCTCAGTGAAGCACCCTTGGGTTCAATCCAGAGGTTATGCACAATAAAGTAAATAAAATAAAAGGGGCATGGAAAAGGTTCAACATGGAATCTCTCCACAAATATGTACTGAATGTGCTCTCATATCAGGGTCACCTGTGGTGCTGCTTTTCAGCCTTGAGCAAGCTAAGACTGTCTCAGCTTGTCATGCAAGACCCTCCACAAAATGACTCAAGTGACCCATTAACTCACACCATCCCTCATGTCCTCTGAATTCCAGTAGTAGTCAGCATTCCCCAGATATTCACTTTTCATTCCTCAAAACTGTCCCCTTGGCCAGAATGTCCTTGCCCATAGCTTTACTCACTGAAATCCCATCTGTCCCAAGGCCCATGCCCAAAAGCACCTTCCTTCCCCAAGAAGCTTGTCTGCTCCTGTCTGCTGCAGGCCTGCACCCCTCATGGCACCTGTCCTACCTGCAGTGCACTGTCCGGCTCTCCCTCCTCAGGCCAGGCCACTGAGCTGGTTTCCCTCACTCCGCAGCACACAGCTATGGGGGCCCAGCCTCTAAAACTGTGAGAGACAACATTAAGCTGGTTACACTGTGAAAAGTGAAAAGTTTGCTGTGAGCCAATAAGCAAAACAAGTCAAAGAAAGTGATACAGGAGCAGTTCATAAAAGAGCTGCTTTTCTGTTTTGTTTTGGTTTTTGTTATTGATGTGGTTTGTGTGTTTGCTTGTCTCTTGTGGTTCCAGGAGAGGAGCCCAGGGACCCCTGCATGCTAGGTAAGCCCTCTACCATTCACCTCTACTCCCAGACCACAACAGAACCTCACAATCAGGAAGATTTGCCTACATCAACTGAAACACTTCATTTGAGTCAAGAATTTGAAAATATTACAGATGATATCAGAATATTTTAGGCCACTTTAATTTGACTTTTGTAATACTGGGGATTGAACCCAGGGCCCTCCTGCTGAGCTGCATGCCCAACTCTTTTTTTATTTCTTATTTTGAGACAGGGGCTCTCTAAATTGCCAAGTTACCCAGGCTAGGCTCAAACTTGCCATCCTCCCGCCTCAGCGACCGAGTGCCAGGATAACAGGTATGTGCCCCTCGTAATCCTTCTTTATTAAGGTCCCCTCTACTTGACTCCACAGGTGATTATAAGGGAAGCAAGAATGGTGTTTCCAGGGCATTAAGTCCTACATTTCTTGTTTCTTTGCAAAACAGTGTTGAGCTCAATTTCAAGTGCTTTATTTTATTTCCTCATCATTCGTACCCCAAAATGGTTATCTATTATGGGAACAGCACTGTGGCAATTGTTCTTACTGCTACTGTTACTGCGGCTGTTGCTGTTGTTGTCAGCTCTGAAAGCAAAAAGACCTGAAGAGAAATAAGATTACTACTAGGTATAGTGCTGGCCTAGCATACTCGGGCCCTGGGTTCATTTTCCCACAGTACACAAGAAAAAATAATATTTCAAAGAAAACCTACATAACTTTCAGAAACTTCTCTAAAAACTGAGCATCTGGAATGCGACCAAGTAGAAGAATTAAGTGAGGAAATCAAGGTGGCCAGGTCAGGCTGGGTTCTGGGACTGAAGACATCAGCATTTTTCTTTCATCTGGGTACCACTGCAAATTCCCCAGAAGGGACTGAAGATGCAGCTCATCCTAACAGAGATGAAACAAGCTGAGGAAAGAGAGGCCTCAAGGCAGATACAGAGGGTGGTTTTGAGGAAGGAGAATGTTGCAAGAGAGGCCGAATTCCAGGCACGCTGTGAAGGAGGTGGATGCATATGGGAAGAGGGGAGTCTGAAGTTCAGAGGCAGAAGTGATGCTGCTGTCATGGGCCGGGGCACTGCAGGCTGAAGCAGCTGAGGGTCAGAAGACCAGGGTATTTGTTACCAAGGGGGAAGCAAGTCACAGAAGAGTCTTTCTTTCTTTCTTTTAACATCTGGCCAGTTGTCTGCTTTGTTTCTTTCCAATTTTTATTTTTAATAGTACATATTTGCAGTACACAATGGCCATATTCCTCGTGGGGAGCTGGGGCATGTGCAAAACACATCTCAGTCTGCTACTTTCCCCTTCCCTTCTCCCCCCTCCCCCACCCTCCATCTTTGGGCTCTCTTCTCTTTTGCAAATGATCTCTCTCCCTGTTTCCTATCTCTGTTATTTTGCTCTGTGTTTATACTTTGGTTCGCTCATATAAGAGAAACCACATGATATTTAAGCGTGGGTGTCTGGTTTATCTCACTTAACACTGTGGTCCCAAAGTGCATCCATTTTCTACAAATGCCTTAGCTTACCCTTTGTGGCAGAGCAGTGCTGCACTGAGTATAACACCATAGTTTCCTTATCAGCTCATCTGCTGATGGACCTATGGGTCACTTCCAAGATTTAGCTGCTATGAGGTGTGCTGCTCTACACATGGGTATACACGGAACACTATGGTATGACGTCTTTAACTCTTTGGGGAAGACACCTAGGAGGGGAAGAGCTGAGTTCAATAGAATTTCTAGTTCAATTTGTTTTGAGAAATCTCCATACTGATTTCTATAATGGTTGTACTAGTCTACACTCTCACCAACAATGTAGAAGGGTTCTTTTTGCCGCACAGCCTCACCAGCATTTGTTGTTGTCTGATTCGTAGAAGAGTCTGTAGAGAAAGATACCAGCACTGAGTCTTCTTGACAGTGTCAGTGAAACAGGCAAGAAAAGCCACCCTGGGGCTGGGGGTGTGGTTCAGTGACAGAGCTGTTGCTTAGCATGCAGTACCTCAAAAAGACAGGAAGAAAATCTGCCCTCTGTGTGACAAGAACTCTCACTTGAGCCAGGTATGGTGGTGCATGCCTGTTATCCCAGCATTTAGGAGGCTGAGGCAGGAGGATCTCTGTGAGTTTGAGGCCAACCTGGACTACACACCAAGACCCTGTAACAGATAACTTAGAAATTTTCACAGCCAGAGTGAGAAAGAGAAGACCTTGGAAACCTTCCACTCCCACAACAGGAGAAGAGAGAGGAGAACCAGGGCCACCTAGGGGCAAAGCCTAGATAGGAGCAGCCTGTCCATTCTGTACAAAAACACAGATATTGGGAAACAGAGAGGAAACAGGAAGATCTGCAAAGAACCAATGAAAATGTGCTAGGTTCCCGCACAATATCAGGGAACAAGTTCAGCCCTCCAGAACTCCTGGACACCTCTGTGTGTTCCCTGGGAGGAAGAATTTCTTGGCAAGCCCAGGCAGCTTTGCTGGTATTCACATGGTCAGCACTGGCTCGGCCTGAGCCCTCTTGATCCCCTCTTCTTCCTGGAAACACCTAAGCTGAGCCACCTCCCACCCCCAGGCTGTGGCAGGCAGGTGCTTTATGCTGGGCGTTCACCATGCCAGACTTGAGTTCTGGCTCTGTCCCCACAGGAGGGCTCACGGAGCACCAGCAAAGCTGTTGTCCACAAACCTTTCGTCACTGAGAAGCCCCATCCTAATGCTGGGAAAGAGCAGGGCTCATTGTTTCTTCTGCAATTTTTTTCTTTCCAAGGAAATTTATTTTAGTTTTCTATTATTCTAATATTATTTTTTTATTCATAGTGCTTTTTATTTTTTTTCATAGTCCATGTTTGCAATACATAACGCCTGCATCCATCTTATGGAGTAGGTACCTATAGTTAACATATCTTAATTGTTTTTATTCCCCTATTTTATCTTTCTTATTCTTTTGTTTTGTTTTTTGTTTGTTTGTTTGAGACAGGGTCTCACTATGTAACCTGGAACTCACTATGTAGCTCAGGCTGGTCTTGAACTTACAGGGATCCTCCTGCCTCAGCCTTCCGAGTGCTGGGATTACAGAAGTGCGCCACCACACCCGGCCTTAGTTTTCTTATTCTTTTTTTTTACTGAGTTTATTGGTACATTTTAGGTATACAGTAAAGTTACATTATGGGATCTTGTACCTTTACATGACAGGTCTTGGTTCTCATTTTTTCCCCTTGTCCCTGCCCTCCCTTCACCCCCTCCTCCCCTTCCCATTTATAATAGTTTTCTTATTCTTAAAAACATTAAATTTACAAAACAGAAAGGAGAAAGTGAAAACATGATTCTACCACTCTGAGGCAAATATTTCCATCCTAGCTTATTCCTTTTCAGTCTATTTAACATTCATGAAAATTTGTCTGTAAAGATTTATCTATATGGATACATTTATCTACAAAATATTCAGAGGCCAGGGCCAGGGATTTAGCTCAGTGGTGCTGCTGCCTGCCTCACAAACACAAGGTACTGAGTTCGATCCCCGGTACCAAAAAGCAAAACAAAACAAAACAAAAAACCCAAAAAATATACAGGGTCCACCAAAAATGTATAAATCACAAGAAGGAAAGCTTGTATAAATATTTTAACACTAACTTCATAGGGACATCATGAAAATCCTAACGTGCTTGTGGACAAAGCAGTCAATTTACCAACAATCAATGTCTGGTGTGTATTAAAATATTTGGCACAAAGGTTCTTAGTTTATTAGCCACACTGATGTGAATGACGAAAGGAGCCAACGAAACTCCATTTTCTCAAAAAAGCCTGTGGGCGCCTTCCTTTAAAATGACCTCCAGGTTCTCATTTTCCCCCATACCCAGTGATGAATGTAACTGTACTGTATACCTACAAAGTACCAATAAACTCAATGAGAAAAAAAAGAATCCTACTATAATAAAAACAATGCTGGGTGAAAAATAAATAAATAAATACATACATACATACATACATACATACATAAAAAGACTTCCAGAACCTTCGCGGACTGCTGCGAGCCACGCCCTCCCAGCTCCTCGCCTGCACGCTATTCCTTTTCTCAGGGCTCGTGCTTGAGACCCATGCACATGGAAGTGAGGCTCGGCAAACCCCTGGCTGAAGCTCCACAATCTTCCCTGCTCAACACACTTCAGAAATCATCTCTGAACACACACATGTTCCAATTTGTTTCTCATGGGCTGCCTAGAAAAATGAAATAGCTCTCATAAGGAGTGTCCAGACTGTTCATGTACATTGACTCTGGATTTCACCTCAAACAGAAAGCGCTCTGTGCAGACAGACCTTTCAATCTCCCCGTGGAGTCTCTGCCTGTTGCTTGAGTGCTTTCTCATTCCAAAGCTCCCTGTGGCCTCACAGCCAGTTTGCATCTAGTTTCTGGAGGTGATTAGCAAAAGGAGGCCTACAGGAAAGGCAGCAGAGACTGAACAGCCCTGACAAGTGTGACTACATATACAAAGAGCCAGGAATATTTCAGAGTGCCCCGGACTCAGCCCGAAGGTTCCAGCTTTCAATGAAAACAAGCACCCAGCCGCAGCATGCGTGCCGTAGGTTCACCACCTCTGGCCTATAATAAGAACTATATGTATTGCTTTCTATTAGAAAACAACTGATTTACAAGTTCATCCTCCCCACTGGAAGATATAAAATTAGAGTAAACCAAAATAATACGTTTTCTTTAACCCACACTTTAAGATTATTAACCCAACGGCAACCAGGAGCA